TTGGTTATTAAAATTTCAGAGGGATGTACCAGTAGTTTTAAAGGCATTCCAAGCACGAGAAACAACACTTTTGTTGATCCCGAATTCTTCGGTGACACTGGTCACACTACGCCCCTCTTCAAGCTTCCCAATCATTCTTCCTCGAGTAAAGTCGTCTAAATGATTTCTTGAAGACATGTTTCACAAAACAAATCACTTGCACTTGCAGCAAATGTCTTTAACTATGGTGCTCTTCATCCTCTTATCACAACTTTGACCTGCTCGCGCCGACCCACAAGGTTTACGTACACTTACATCAACTACGACGTTTTATTTCTAAAATTTGCATACAAATAATCTTTCTACTGAATTACGTGCATATTATACTGCAATTTCATGGCTATCTTATACTTTGTTGGGGAGCTGTGGCCGGCCGAAAAACCACTTGTTGCTTAAGTTTTGCACACCAGTGTAGCTAGTGCATGCTCAGTGGGCATAAGAAAAGAATCAAAGATGACTCAGAATTCATTGAAAGCAAGCATATAATTATAAGCATATTTGGACAGCTAACAAGGCGATTACAATTCTTGCTTGATTAAACAATTTTTAATTGTTATATATCAATAATTACTTAATTATTTGTTTTTAAATAGAAATATTTTTAATAAAAAAATGTATACTCTTTAATTGATTAAAGAAAAAGCCAGGGGGGTGCAAGTGCACCCCCTTGCACCCGGCTGCCGGCGCCCTTGATTATGGGGTTGGTTTTTTCTTACACTATTAATAAACAGTACTGCATTTATAAACAGTACTGTATTTATAAACAGTACTGTACTATTAATTAAGATATTTCTCTGAGTATACTTTTATATCATCCATGTTTATAAAATCTGCTAATAAATTGTGGTATGGAGAGAATAGAAAGACGAGAGGCAGCGTACCCAACCATACATGTAAAGTTGCCCAACAACCGGTTCACTGGTGACGTACCTCCTGACTGTCACTTTACTTCCTATGCTCATGCGCTGGATCTTAGTACATATCATATTCTGCTAAATCTGAGTATGCTGTTCATTCTATAAGTTGTTTTAATGGTGTAGCGTACCACCACACCAAGCAGTTGCCCGCGTTAGTTACGTATTCGAAGAGTTGGACTTCTTTCTATATTCTTTGCCTATTTCTAAGCTTACCAATAAACTTTTTCCAGCCCAGCTAACTTCTTTTATGAATTGATTTTAATCTTTTACGCAATATTTATTTCTGACTCAGCTGAGGATTTATAATATCCAGTGTCAAATACTTTTTTTTTGGTCTTCTGTTGCGTTAAATATGTTTAGCTTTAGAGTTTAAATCAAGACAGAAATAAGAGTCAGCTTTTTGTTTCTGAAACACAAACCTACCCAACCTTAGTCAAACATTCTCAGAAAAAAAAGCTCTATGAAACTTAAGCAATTTGATCGGAATATGTCGTGAAAAACATATTAGTATACTTAAATTGTATATCAATATACGACACTAATATTAAGTTGTCTTTAATTTACTGCGTAAACATGTTATTCAGCATTTGGGACAAATAAATAACTGCCTACCTTTAACTATTATTTCATTTACATGAATAAGTAGTCAAATGATAAATACAATATTATGGTAGTAGAATAATTTCCCATTATTAATTCCATCATTTTACCGAGAATTTTGATCAATAGCTATTTTATTAACTTCCCGCAATTACCGATAATTTTATAATAACCAATTAACAATCATATTCGATTTTTAGGCACAAAAGCTTCGATTATATTTTGCTTATTAAAACGAAACTGATATTATTTGTTTAAATAGCAGCTTAAGTTATAGTCAGTGGTCATTTTGGACAAACAAAACTGAGTTGATAAGCTTTTGAGACCAAATCAAAATACAGAAATGTATTGAGTAAAAATTAACAATAGTTTAAAAAGCATGGAAAACCAAACATTTTTAATAGATTAATTTCATAATAATATTGTATTACTACTTTAAATCTCAGAATTGGTATCATAACTTTTAGACACCTAAATTTTAAACTCATTAAGATATATAGTAAAGAAAATTAAGCAGTAGAAACTCTCGTAGAAAACGAATAGGCATTAATTATAATTAAATAAGCAATAATTATTAAAATATTAAAAATAATAATTGATATAAATAAAATAATTGTTACCACGTGTACCAAAACTTATTTGTTACAGTGAAAGTAATAAAAAATTAAGAAATGATTTAAAATGAGTACTTTTTACTCCTCTAAGTTGGCAACATTCGCGTCCATACAAATAAAATAACAGCAGAAACATGAAATATACTTTATGCTTGACTGATTTCTTGGCCAAGAAGGAACAACTATTGCCCAAGCATCTCGTTGATCCATCTCTCAGCACTCATTTAAATTGCTGGTTCGAAACCAATTCCGGAACATGCTCTCAGAGAATTTCCGTAAAAGCAATATACACAAAACTGGGTTCAACCATATTTTAACTATCCCAAATCAGCCCAGGTTTAAGGCAGTTGCTCTCTTTAGACTTGTAACGGGCCATGACTGTCTGGCCAAACACCTTTTTAGTGTAAACATTTTTGACTGCCCTAAATGCAAGCTCTGTCGCCTTGGAGAGGACATGGACCTTCCCCATATTTCCGTCTGTCCTGCTCTCACCTCATTACTCTGTGTGGACGATACTGGGAGGCTGGGGCCCGTATGGGCTAAGCATGTCACTATGCATTCTATTNAGATCAGAAACACATCATTAAAAGGCAGAATGCTTTGGTGTTTTCAAAACAAAGCAAACGTTGCCACCGGCGGAAAAGAAATACAGTCAAAATCTGGGAGCCACGTAAGAGAACTATATATAATAGATGCTTGACTGATTTCTTGGCCAAGAAGGAACAACTATTGCCCAAGCATCTCGTTGATCCATCTCTCAGCACTCATTTAAATTGCTGGTTCGAAACCAATTCCGGAACATGTTCTCAGAGAATGTCCGTAAAAGCAATATACACAAAACCTGGTTCAACCATATTTTAACAATCCCAAATCAGCCCAGGTTTAAGGCAGTTGCTCTCTTTAGACTTGTAACGGGCCATGACTGTCTGGCCAAACACCTTTTTAGTGTAAACATTTTTGACTGCCCTAAATGCAAGCTCTGTCGCCTTGGAGAGGACATGGACCTTCCCCATATTTCCTGCGCTCACCTCATTACTCTGTGTGGACGATACTGGGAGGCTGGGGCCCGTATGGGCTAAGCATGTCACTATGCATTCTATTCTATTTATCTTTTTTTGCCTTGTTTTTCTTGTTATTTTATCCTTTTTGTTCTTTTAAATTGGCCTGCCTTTGGAAATAAAATAAAAAACTTTATGCTTGAAATATCTGCATTGTTTAAAAGTGTTGTGGAAAGATTCACATTGCTTCGCTATAACGTAAAAATAATCCACATTTGCGTATTCACTAATTAAGTTTTCGTTTGAATTTCTTACATGTTTCATGAATAGTGCAGAAACATTTCAAATGTTGCAACATGGAAAAATTGTGCTGCCATCTATTAATTAAAAATCTGAACAATCTATCAAAGATCAAACACAAAACAAAGCTATCCGTATATCAAGAAAAATACAATTAAATTTTGTTTCGCTTACAAAAATCAGCTCACAACTAAATAAATACGTCTGATCTCACGCCTTTTTTATGTTATTTTGCATCTGCTACATTAAGTTATAGAAAGTTCAACAATATAAAAGTTACTATGTGATTTTTTACATAATTTTATGATCTCAATTTCAGTATTAAAACTCTCTTCATACTTAGCTTGGACTGAAGCAGTAATAGTTTCATCACTTTCAAGAATAACTTCAGGTGCTTTAAGATCCACAGTAAAAGTTGGCAAAACTACAAAAAAAAATAATAATAATAGTTGATAAAGGTTCCAGTAACACTGATGTTTATTATTACAAATGGCATATCTCCAAAATTTCTTATATCTCTCATAAGTTGGAGTAAAAAAAAATAGTTAAAGGGGTGAAATAGGAAAAAAATATAATGATAGTAACTGAAAGCTTACCATATTCCTGCAACTCAAAATGCACAGTGGAATTTTGTTGCAACTAAAATAAAAATAAAAAAAACAATTTCACGTATATCCCATAAGTTTAAAAAAACTCTATATTAAATAGCTTAAAGTATGGAAAAGCTTGTAAGTCAAAGTAATTGGTTTAGTTCGGAAAAATTTTTCTTGCTATTTTCATTGCACTTTGCTTAACAACTCAAGAGAAATATAAAATAACATTACCAATAGTACTTAATAATTAGTTTTTTTGTGATAATGAAATAACTTGATTATAAAACTGTTTTCTAGCTAATTATGAAATGAAGAGAAATGTCAGATTTTAATTTGTATGAAACATTATAAATAATTTTCGATTAATTGAAATAATACACATTAAATTTAATTCATTGTTGGTATTCGACTTGAAAAATATCAGCGAAAGAAACAAAATACTTTACCACTCATAACGGCGAAAAAAATTCTGGTTAAATTGCTCNCAGTGAAAAGTTTTCGAAACTTCAGTAGTCAAAAAAGTATACAAAAACTAGACGTTAAGAACGTATCCAATGAGCGAGCAAATCAAGCATCGAATTGTGAAGCAATCCGAAATGAACTGCGAAAGCAGTTCCGGGGGTTGGCGAGCGCCAGCGAGCAGGGGGCGAAGCCTCCTAGTTATTAATAATTTTCGATTAATTGAAATAATAGACATTAAATTTAATTCATTGTTGGTATTCGACTCCTTGCATTTAATTTTGAAAAATATCAGCGAAAGAAGCAAAGTACTTTACCACTCATAACGGCTAAAACAATTCTGATAAAATTGCCATTCTTGTATGTTAATGACTTTTCTAATTAAAAAAAAAAACATAATTCTTGTAATCGAACCTAAATATACAATATAAAAACCATTCAATGGATAATTTTTCCGTTGGCGTGGTAATGGTTTACCGAAAATTTAGGTTTTCAAAATTATAGTTCTTATTACCGAAAATTATAGTTCTTATTACCATTTAGTGAAAATGCGAAAATGAAAAGTAAATTTAACCGAATAAATGGTTTTTATGCCCTGCTCTAAGGTATCATGATAAAATTTCAAAATTTTACCACATTTACTACCAGCATGGCAATAACAACATATTTTTTTGTTCATTTTACCATAAGTAATGACCAAAGTGCTTCGGTAAAAATTATTGTACTTTTTGGTGTTTCCATAAAGTCATATTCTAGTAGTTTCAACCGTACCATTGTTCTCAATGCAAAATTTCCGTAATTGTGGTTTGTGAAACTGCTCCGATTCTTTTTGTTTATTGGTCTTAATACGAAATAAAAATATTTATTGTAGAAATTTATCTAAAAGCTAAACTTTTAGAGTAAATTTTTTTTCAATGCATTCTTACTTTACAAAATATTTATGATATTAGGAGAATCGTTTAAGCAATTGGGTACTTGCACTTCGCGAAGAAGAAGATCATGGATACTCACACTTGAGGCCTATGACGTCAGCGTCAGCTAATCATTTATAAGCAAAATGGCGTCTAAAAGTTGTGCTAAGTTTCTCCACATAAGTTAGAATGCTAATAACGTGAAATTAATTAAATACAGCGCCGAATCGAACATCGAATTTATTGAAATATAATTCTTCCTCGTCTACGTCTTTTACTCAACTTAGATTTATTATTTGTTTATGTATTTTATTGTTACCGTGATATAGTTTTCTTTTGCATACCTGGTGACTTCGATGCAAAGTTAGTTTGTTTATAATCTATATAGTTTCGTGCCTGTCTTTGTGTTAAGTAAGAAAAATATCGTGAAAAAATTGAAACCTTCGTGAATGAATCTTTGTGTAACAAATGTCACTTAAGAGAAGTAATACTTGATTGGCTTAGCTTACTCGAAATAGAATGGAAAGAACATTTGCTAACGTAAACAAATGCCACGTTTCGACAACCAATCAAGATCGAGATACTCTCACTACGTCACTTGTCACTACGTCATATCCTATTGCATTAATGTTATAAATATTCAAAGACGAAATAATCTGTGAAATGCAATTGAAATAACATTGGATCTGAAATTTTGCCGAACTGACCTGTAAAATGTTCTAAGTGTGGAGTGCAGATTGATTCTAAAAGTGGTTACTTGATAAAAGGAGGGCTTAAGACAAATTTCTGATGCATATGCCAAATTATATATCAAAATATGCTTCTTTTTTTTGCACGAGTAAATAATAACATACTAGTAAAAGTTTTTAAAATAAGAAATAAACATGCATGCATTGGAATTAAGGAATGGCGCTATTGATAAATTTTTAGGGTGCAACTAAAACAAAAATACACGTAAAGCATTTATCATTCATCCATATTTATAAAAATTACATCTATAGCACCATTTTTAAAAACTAAACAAGTATAAAAAATGCTCACCTCATGGCCATAATTGACAGTAGCAGCCCACTCACCCAAAACAGGAAAAGTTGGAAATTTATAAATATGAGATATGAATACTTTCTGTGATCTTCTAGATTTTCTGTCAAAGAATGTTTCTTCTACAACAACATTTTGTGGATTCTAAAACATTAATAAAAGAGAAATTTTTAAAAAAATTTCTGCATTTTTATTAGAAATTGAATTTACATGGTCTAAAGTAATCACTGCCAGGAATCAGTTGCCATTCAAAAAACCATAAGCAAGAAGAGGAAATGCATAAATTTCCTCCCATATAAGTTCCAAACAGTCCAAAATGTGTTTAGATGAAGCCTGGTGTTTGTGGCACAAAGGTATGTTTTTAAACCCTCAGAAAAACGTAAACTCCTTAAGTGGCCACTGGCGAGGCTCGAGACGGTCGTACAGATTTTCCTATTACAAGAAAGGGTCAAGGCCTGGTCTACTACCCTGAGGAGGGGAGAAGTGCAGCTTCTGTTAGTCCTAAGACCGGAGCACCAATAGGTAGAAGACTGTCTTAGCTTCTTAACCTAAGGACGGATACCTGGATACATTACTGCCCTATATATATTTTTTTAAATCTTTGTCAAAAGCGTACATACATTAGGGATCTTAAACTAGTATTTTAGCGAGGAAGAAACAAAAGTGCTATCCAAATCTGATGAATCACTAGTGAAGAAGGTGGGCAAAAAATCTAAAACCAATCTATCGGCATCCTGAAAACTTAGAAGTGGTTTTCATAGCTATCCTTCAAGTCCTCTCAATATATCCACCGGCAATTAAATAGACATTTTTTTTCGCTTTTCTCACTACCAATTTGTTAAATTTTGAAGGGTTTTTTTCTTTTTTTTTTTTTGCACGAACATTAGTTTTCAACCTCTACCAAGCGTATTTTTTAACTTCAATTTTGATAATAGTCAGTAATTTTAAAGCAGAAACAAGCTCAATTCAACAACAACAAAATTTATAGCAATTGTTTTTTGACTGCTTTGGTAATGTCGCAATATGAATTAGCAAAGTTATCTCCACCAGAAAAGAAGATAACCAATTCCTAAATCGGAAAAAAAAGAGAGAAACGTGACTTGAAATAAGGTGATTTTGCGGGGTTTTTTTTTCAAATATCTCACAAACAACACTCTATATTGACAAAATGAAAATACAAAAGTTAGAGATGCGTAAATGCCGTATATAATGAGTAGAAATGTGACATGTATTTTGTTTTTAAAATGCTTACTTCATTATGAAAGTTAACCTAAATTGTCAACTTTTTAAATAAATTTAATTTTTTGCTAAAATTAGTGCTAGAATAAAGTACAGATGACAGAATGAATGACAAATGCTAAATTAATGCTAGACTGAACGGCAGATTACTTTATAAAGAAAGAGGCTTTCATTTTTAAATTTTGAAACGACCAGTCGGGTCGTGTTACATTAATATAGTGAAATCCCAATCATCCCAATTACGATACAATTATCCAAACGTTTGCTATAACAGGAGATTGCGTACAAAATGATTGTAAATATTTTTATATAACTATTTTGACATCATTTTAATGTGATTCTAAAAAAAGATATAGAAAACTGCAAGAATGGTTGGTTATTATACATGATTTTTCTTAATTATTTGAAATGGTGATTTCTAACAGCCTGCAAAATCACGTAAATACCACAGGTTTTAACTTGCAAATAAACTCCCCAAGAAGCTATGGATTTCACAAAAGTTGAGAATAAAGTTTGTAGACAAAATATGCATCCTACCAAAAAAATGGATCCTAAAATGATTTTTAACTTTGGAACAAAGTTCAGATCTTAAATAATTTAAAATTAAATAAACCTAAATTAAGTTATGAAACTTAAAAAACCAAAAAGTTTATGACAAACCTGCGCAAGTCGTTTTCATAAAAAGACTGTTCAAATATGGTCTATGTTTTTAAATGTCTTACATAAGATATGTTGTTAATAAATAGTTATTCGTATTGTTTAATAACACGGTATTGTTTAACAACACATTTTTACTATAATATTACATGCAATAAACTGTGATACTACGTCCTTGAGTCAAGATTTCAAAATGATCTTATCGGAATGAGATTTTTCTCAATTTAAGGTGACGATGTGCTTGGTGTTCATAATAGATAAAATGAAAAATTCAATCAATTATTTAAACCATGTAAAATACACGTCCTTGAGTCAAGATTTTAAAATGATCTTATCGGAATGAGATTTTTCTCAATTTTTACTGTAAAGATGTGCTTTGTGTTCATAATGGATAAACTGAAAAATTCAATCAATTACTTAAACCATGTAAAATACATTAAAAATTGCAATTGGTGGTTTGCAAAAATACTCTGAAATACTTACTCTGATTTGCAACTTAAAAGGTTTGTTTGATGGCAATGCATCCTCATTAAGGGGAATGATTCGAATGTGTGCTAGAAGCAAACAAGTAAATAAGTAAATTTTTAAATAAAAAAAACATAGATTAACTTTACACTTTGTGTATTTCTTATTTTCACACAACATTCAAGTTATTAAATTAAAATACCAAAACTCTTCTATCAATGAGCACGGTCGAACTACCAGAATGTGGTAAAAGTTAGGGTGCCTTTGGCTCCATGGGAACACCAAAAAGCACGATAATTTTTATAGAAGCACTTTGGTAATGACTTTTGTTAAAATTAGCAGTAATATATGGTATTTTTTACAGTTTTGTAAATTTACTATTAGTGGTAAAAAAAAGCTATAAAGTTGTAAACCAGAATCACCGGTAAACTGTTACCATACGCACGGAAAATTAACAGATGTATGGTTTAAACACTGCATATTTTGGTTTTATTGCCAGAATTATGAGTTTTTTACGAGAAATGTTATTACCATACAAGTACGGTAATTTTACCGTTTTACCGCTTCGTGTGGATTGTTGTTATCGGATGGTGTAATACGAATACAATTAAATATAATTAAGCGGCAAATATATATTTATTGCTGTTAAATGTTCAGGTAACGATAACTATTGCTTTTAAGCTATATTTTTATAAATTATAGTTCATTTCTACTGATATAAAAAAAGTGAAGCTTTCTTAATAATTTTAGTCAATACAAAACAATTTTACGTATTTCAAATATAATAAACTGTCTCTCAACCCTATGTGTTACAAAATTCAATTGGATACTTGCAAGTGACATCATCGTAGGTAAATCGTGACATTTGTCTGTGCAGAAGCCAATAAGCTTTGTCACACACGCGTGACGTCACTTACAGTTATCCAATTAAATCTGATTTAAATCACATGGTTAGGCTAGCTTCACTTCTCGAGTTGCAAGTATCCAATCCTATGAATGGGAATTTCATACTGTAAGAAACAGTAAAATGATATAAAATTAAAGTAAAGGAAAAATCAATAGGTAAGAAAAATAACGCTGTATTTACTTATTTTCTCAGAAAAAAATCAGCATCACTTAATGCATTTCTGAATCAAAGTATTTCCCTTTTGTTGAAATCAGGTAGATAAAACAAAATTGAATAGTTAAGCGGAAAAACAAGCTAAAGGATTTTTTTTAATATATTTAAAAAATAAGTGTCTATGCATACTGTAAAAAACGTTTCTCAAAATAGAGAAAAGTGTGTCACAGCTCCGAAACAAATATAGTCGAATTTGAAAACTCTAGCACTCATTATTGAGTACAGTGACATGTTCGAAACAGTATATACTTATTTCTGAAACCATGCCTATTCTCGTTTAAGCAACAAACTCAAAATAAGTATATGATGCATATCTTTTGAGATTATACATTTTGTTCAAAAATGAGAATATGCTTTTACCTCAAAAATGAGAATATGCATTTTCCTCAAAAATGAGAATATGTATTTTGCTCGAAAAAGAATATATGCATTTTGCTCAAAAATGAGAATATGTATTATTTTGCTCAACAAAGAATATATGTACTTTGCTCAAAAATAAAAATATGTATTTTGCTCAAAGAAGAATATATGCATCTTGCTCAAAAATGAGAATATGTATTTTGTTCAACAAAGAATATGTGCATTTTGCTCAAAAATGAAAATGCGTATTTTGCGCAAAAAAGGATATATGCATTTTGCTCAAAAGTGAGAATATGTATTTTGCTCAAAAAAGAATATATGCATTTCGCTCAAAAGGCGTAAATGTTCATGAATATGTATATGCTATATACTCAATAATGGGTTCAATCATGGGGTTGGTCATTAATGGTAAATGTTCATGAATATGTATATGCTATATACTCAATCATGGGGTTTCAAATTTGACTGTATTTGAATCAAAGCTATTTTAACACATATTTGTTCAATTTTCAGAAACCCTTTAATATCATCAGCAGAACACCGGAAAGCTGTTTAAAAGGAATATTTGTCTTTGTAAACCCACTTATTTAAAGACTTGCGATGAAATAATATTCTATACTTATAACCAAAATATTTATATTAAATTTAAAAAAGCACTTAATTTTTGTAAAATACATTCTGTAGCATGAAAAATGACTTATTTTAAAATATTCACAAACATTTTCTTCCATTGAATTATTCATTTTTCTCTGTAAAAAAATTCTTTTCTTAGTTCAGTTATGGTTTTTAAATCTTTATCATAAACTTTCTACTCGTACTTTAAATAATCCCGAAATTTTACTCGTATTATGGTATCTAATAGTATATTCAAATTTAAAATCATCAATGCAGTTGTTTAAAAAAAAATTTGATTCATTTACAAATAAATCAAATAGAAAGTTGATAAAAAAATGCAATCTTTAAAATTGTGACTAATATATATACCTTTTTTAATAAACATCAACAAACAAGGAAAATATGCACAAATAAAAAGCATATCTTAAGGACTTCTCTGACACTTATTTATAAATGCTTATACGGAAAAACAAAATTCTGGTAAAATTACAGTACTGTGTGGTAATGAGATTTCTCTTTAAAAAAAATCATAATTCTAGTAATAAAATAAAAATGCATGGTATTTAATTTATTTTTTTGGTAGGTTTTCCGATCATAAGGTAACGGTTTACCAGAAATTTTGTTCATCAAAATTATAATTATTATTACCATGCATTTAGTAAAAAATACAAAACTGGAAAGCAAATTTAACCTAATAAATAGTTTTTATGCCATGCTCTAAAGTATCATGAGAAAATTACCAAATTTTATCTCATGTTATAAAACTATATTTTTCTGTTAATTTTGCCGAAATCATTACCAAAGCTCCTTGGTAAAAATCACACAGATCTTTGGTTCTCCCATAGCGTTAATTTTACTATATTCACACATTAGGCATGGTTAATTTTATAATATTCACTATTAATAACAAATTTTGTTCAACCGTTCATAGTTATTATACTTGATAAAAGTTATTATAAATACCTTTCAGTTTATTGAATAAAATAACGAGTTTAATTACTTTAGTTCCACTTTTACCATAATTAACCTCTATAATTATTTGTCATATTTCAATAATGTTTTTTTTCTGATAATGTGCGATTTTTTAATTTATTTTGATATTTTGCAATTTTTATAATTTTCTCAAAAAATTTAAAAAATTCTAAATATATTTATTCATGGCTGTCATTACGCCACTTTCTACTAATTTTACTATTTATTTATGAAAATATTTTATAAATCTATTTTTAATACAAATTTTCAATTTTCAAAATATTAAATTCCAATTTTATGTACATATTTTAATATTAGACGGAAATTTTTTTCTTAAATAAACTAATCAGAATTTAATTATTTATATATACCTGTTTTTTGCTTTGGAGTATATATTGGTTTGTCGGTCTGAATGAATACATATCCAGCTTTATTAGTTATTGGAATCTGGATTTCTTTCTGAAACTGTTGACTGTTAACTATAAGGCTGACATATTTCTCAGATGTAGGATTCGTTTTAAAGAAATCAGCAGGAAAAGCAGCAGGATTCAAATTTATTTTAAAAATTTCAGGTCTTCCTAAAAAAAAATTAAATAAAAATAAATTAGTCAAACGTTTAAAGACTATTTTATTTTCGTTCACAAATAAACTTACGATTACAAATAATGGGAGAAAATACTTTAGATTCATTAAAGCTCTTTATTGCATTAAAATTAACTGCAGTAGCAATAAAGTGTAAAAACAGTTATTTGAAGTATTTTTTTACCCACAATATTTTTAATCTAAGGAGTTCTTCAAAGTGGTAAGACAATATGGTAAGACAATGGTACGTGGATTTTCATAAGTTTGGTTGATATATATGTGGGGAATGAGTCGTTATAGACTATGTCAATTGTCATCTATGAAAAGGTACCCCAACATAGATTCGAGTTAACATGTCTTATATACTAGTGAATTGTAGTTGTAATTTTGTAGTGGTAGATACGCTACAGTACTCACCCACCAGAATTATAGCAGTGATAGAATTTGATACATGGATATCTCTAGTTGCTGTATTTGTGACAGTCCGGGATAGCTGGATTAAGGTCACCGGGTTTTAAACATTAGTCATGAGAGCTGTATTAAGATCAGGCCGTAGTCACTCCTGTGTTGCCTTTAGCAATCGGGTATATGCAGGTTGACGTATTGTGTGATCGAGACGAGACTGAGTAGCAACAGTGCGAGGAGGTGGATAATATCGCAGTCACAAGTAGCAAGTCAACTGTTCAATGTGGACCATCTAACGAAGTAGGCGTGTTCAGATCGAAGTGGGCGTTACTGCCAAAATAGGCATGTTCACATCACGTCCGGGTCACCAATGTGGGGAATGAATTGTTATCGACTAAGTCAACTGTCATCTATGAAAAGGTACCCCGACATAAGTCGAGTTAACATGTCTTATATTAGTGAATTGTAGTTGTAATTTTGTAGTGGTAGATACGCTACACATACAATATTTAGTTCTAAGACACCTAAACCAAAAATATTAATTAATATGACAAAGTGATAGTAACTAAGGGAACGGGGGCCAGTGTGGATATTTTTACAAATTTATCAAAACACCATACTTAATATAACTTTTGACTCATGAAAATAATTTATAACAATAATTTGGAAGCTTACCTGCATTCTGGTTTATATCCGGAATCAGAAAAATGTCTAGTTTTTCATAATATTTTGTTTTAAAAAAAAAGTTGTTTTTGTCCATCCCATAACACGGGGTTAGTATGAACAAGCTATGGGCCAGTGTTGAACAAACTTGATAGCTTGTTGCGTAGTCATCTATTACAACTCAGGTATGTCCAAAGCCAAAATTAAATTGGTTGTAATTTAAGCCTTCTTTTCGACGAAATATTGAGACATTTTGATTAAATTACTAATTTGTAGTAGAGCATTTCACTATGCAAGCTCAGACATTTTGGATACAAATCTTTACATTTGTAAACCATTATTCAATTTGATTTGCTAGAAAAATATTTTTGAAATTTGTCTTTTATTTTATCAAAAGATCTGGTTATAAAATGTTTTATGAGATCCAATTCTAGTTGTCCTACTATGGAATTTAGAGAACTATTTCTTCTCCTCAAAACTGTTCCGTTCGTTACCGGATCGCGCGATATCGCGTTATAAAATTCTTTCCCACAGATTGTGTTAATAAATCACATTCAGTGGTAGCAAGATGCATCTTATCATCCAACTATTTCTGCAAAAATTATATTTTCTCGTGACAACTACAGATCAATAACATGACAATAACATAATTTGGTTAGAGTTTATCCTTATATTACTGCCCCCCCCCCTCTAGTCTAAGGAGCAATCTAAAATTAACCCCAACCTATTAATATTTCTTTCTCATTCATTTCTTATTTGATCCTCCCCAATTGCAAATTGACTCTTTATTTGAATTCGTATTTTAAAAAATAATTCAATTTATAGCAAATTTGTATCTTGATTTGAAAATTTTTTACAGGAAAAATTCAATTATAATTTTTTCAATTGTTTTACACCTTCGTAAATTTCTGGGACTGAACCTGTCTAAATGATTCGGTGTTACAACTTTTAATGACATCATTATTGTGCTAACTGGATCAAAATTAAAAATTTTAGCGTAACTTGCTCAGCGGCATTTTTTATTTCTTTCTTTTTTTATTTTTTTTTTTAACTTTTAAAGCATTGAGAAATAAGATCAGTTCTCTACATAATTAAAAACCAATCAGACGTGATAACCTAAATAATGCCAAACAGTGTAAATATTCATGATTAGTTTATATGTGAAAATGAAATTAAAAGGATGAAAATCTTATTTAGAATTTTCTTTTTCGACAGTTAAGTTTGAATGGGAGAGGAAGGGAATCTTGAAAGTATATATTAAAAAATTTTGTGATCTCCTTGCGGCTACCACAGGCTACCCATCAAACATTTTCTTCCATNAGTATTTTTAATCTTGAAAATGTTTCTCTTTATATTTTTTGTGTGACTCCGGAATGAGCACGGATAATCCGCAAACCGGATAATCCGCGCACGGATAATCGAGAGTGTACTGTATTAAAAAATTTTGTGATCTCCTTGCGGCGATCACAGGCTACCCATTGGTAAAATGGTTGTCGTCTAATTTTTTTTTAAGCAGCTTTATTGTGTTTTCATCTTGGACATCTTTAACTGTTGATTCTGAACTGCTCGGTACATAATTTTGCAGACATATTTGAATGCACCTCACACATATTCTGTGCAAATTCTTTTGATGATTGAACAGGCATGGAACCAGCCAATCGAGATCAATATTAACATTTTCGGATTGGTACAATGGTGTTCGAAGAAGATTGTAAGCTTCATCATACACCCGTTTCAGATTCACAAGCTCATATATGAAATGGGATTTGAAAACTAGGCTTTATTCCAATTTTACATGAATATTGAATAAATCATTGGTATTGCGTGGAAGACAGTCCACGGTCCTGTGCAAGTCATTGGGTACTTTGATAAGGGATCCTTTTATCCCTAATTGGTGATCAACACCAGGTTCTCGTATTTGCATGAATGAGTTCAGAGAGCCACCATTCGCTCTTCGGTAGGGTTCAATTCTGTCAACCATTTTGGTATTTTTTTGAGGAACGGGCTTCATGCTTGCGTTTACAAACGGAATCCTTTCCTTTTTCCGTTTGTGTATAACACTTAAGGTATTCTAGTCTACGTTCTTTGGCTTCTTCAGCCTCGGTAAGTTTAGCAGCAGCGGTCGCCATAGCAACGGAATGCAATAACGACGCATGCGCTCTGTTTACTAAGACTCTTGAACACAGTTGAAAAGTGTGATGACGTCCAAATAAGATGATCACGCCATCAAACAAGACTCATTTTGCCAATGGGTAATAAAAAATTGTTAAGTTTGCCTTTGGCTAAGAATTTCTCAGATTGGCAGCGGATACTTTTGATATTTGGCTAAATTACTGGCTAATAATTTGAAGTCCTTAGAGCCGGCCCTATATATAAATACATAGCATATGTACATCTATGGTTGACTGCATATATATATATATATTATTTTAGAACTTGTAGACAAATAAACTGGTTCTTGATAATTTCAATTGTACTAAATAATGGCTAATTAAAATTTGAAAACCTTTTTATTTTTTCTCACTGAAACATCAATTTGTAACAACTAATGAGCCTGATTTTTTAGAAAGACTAAAAATATAAAATAAGATTAAGGAAAAACCTAATATGACATTGTTACAAGTCAAAGCACTGAATATGAGAAGGATTGTGATGAAAAAAAAATTATAAATCGTACAAAAAAAAAAAAAAAAAAAAAAAAAAAAAAAAAAAAAAAAAAAAAAAAAAAAAAAAA